AGCCCGTAAGCCCTGCACACCAAAACCCTGCAGGGCGAAGGGGCGTTCTCACGTGCAAGCGCAGCACGGGTGATCCTCAAGAATCAATTTGGTGGTTTGGTGACCCTAATTCTTATGAACGGAACCCCAAAAACAGGCACCCTGTTTTGGGGAATCTCCCATTTGAAGCTGCGGGGTGGTTTTTTGCCTTCCAGTTTTGTTCCTAGCTTTCAGTCGGACGTCCTTGTCGAAAATGATACCTAGTCCCTAAACCAAAAATGACGCCCTAAACCCTAAGCCCTAAACCCTAAACCCTAAAACCTAACAGTGCTTGCAATGCTCGGCCCATCGCGCCGCCCAGTTGCTACATGGGCGTAAGGGGTCCTTGTGCCTCCTTCGCTTCGTGATCGACGCTTTCGAGCTCGCAGCAAGAATGTAGCAAGCGTTCCCTAAACCCAAACTAAGCCTCAAACTCTAAGCCCGGAAGCCCCAAAGCCCTTAATCCCTAAACCTTAGCACAATTACCCCTAATCCCTGAACCCTTAAACCCCTAAACTCCAAAGCCCTTAGCCTCATAAGTCCGTAAACGCCCTAAACCCTAAACCCCTTACAAGGCCCTGAACTTTCTAGAGACCCCAAGACGGCAGCCTTGAACAGGCACAGGGGTGAGCAAGCTGGTGAGCGTCGCCGGTGAAGTCTTACCCCTCACGATCACTGTGGTTTCTTGGGGCGTTTTCGGGTTCAGGGTTTAGGGTTTAGGGCTTAGGGCTTGCATGGGGTTAGAGTTTCGGGTTTGAAGTTTAGGGGTTTTGTTTAGGGCTTCTAGGCCTTGAATGGAATGGATTAAGGGCTTTGGGGTTCAGGGTTTGCAAGGAAGAGGTGATCTTGGATTCAAGGACTTCAAGCAGCTTCTCGGCGATTTTGGACAAACAGTCTGTTCGTTTTCGTCCCTTTTCGTTCAAAGACTTCTCATTTTCCAGCTGTGCGATTCTCTACACGACAGACCCGCTTCGAGTTCCAGGAACTTCGCTGAACACATGGCTCCGTATTCTCGTGGGAGCCACAAAGGGTCTGTATTCGAGGAACCTGAATATTAGGGGGTACGAAAATTAGGGACCGTGAAAATAGACCCCAAATAGTAGAATTCCCTTATAATAAGGACCCCAATAAGGTATCCCTAATTTCGGAAACCCTTCAACCCTAAACCCTAAACCCACATGTACGGCATCCCCTAGTTTCGGAAACCCGCATTATCATCCCAGGCTGAGGCAGGGCTCCAGCATGGCGACACCCTCGGGGCGATCGCGCCTTGCATCATGTACCGCCCCGCCCCACCCCCACCAACCCCCGGCCCCCCCTGCTCAGGGCTTTCTTTTGGGTCTATAGGGCTTATGGGTTTCGGGTTTAGGGTTCAGGAAGTCCATAGGGTTTAGGGTTTAGGGTTTAGAGTTTAGTTTTTAGGGCTTAGGGTTTAGGGTTTAGGGTTTAGGGTTTAGGGTTAAGGGTTTAGGGTTTAGGGTTTAGGGTTGGGTTTTCCAGGACGCACCGGAGTAACCTTATTCCCATCTAGTACAAGTATTGGATCCCAAAACCCAACCTCGTTGACACACAAACGGGCACCCTTTTTTCCGAGGTCTATGATTGGGTGTCGGGCTGACGTGTGTGAGGTTAAGTTAAGGGTTTAGGGTTCACGTGTAGGGCCCTAAGCCCTCAACCCTAAGCACTAAACAGTCTCAAGCTGCGCAGGCTTTCCGTGACTCTTCAATAAGGGCAAGAAGGTACCTGGCGGTATTTCGGGCGGCCACAAGTCTGAAAGGGTGCGTGGGTGCCCCCTAGAATTGTCAGAGCTACCCTCATTGCAAAACCCCAAAGACCCAAGACCCTGAACCCTGAGCCTCTAAACCCCTAAACCCCCCCAAGCCCCAAACCCCAAAGCAAGGTGAGGCGGGAAGAGCTGGTGCCCTCGCGTGGCGCCTTTGCGCTGCTGCGGGCGAACGGCTCGGTCGTGCCGCTGGGAGGGCGTTTCGGGGCTCCAGTGTTTAGTAGGGAATGAGGGAAGTAGGGCCCTATGTAATCCCTTAAAGGGTATATATAGGGCCGTCATTCCCTCATTCCCTACTAAGAACCAGCCAGTAGAAGGGACCCTTGTTCCTTTTTAGAAGTTGCCGTACCAGATCCCGGACCCGAAAAGGAACCTCGCTTGGAGCACTACCCACCTTATGAATGCTTTTATTTTCGCGGGTCCCTCCGTAGTCCTGAAAGCACTGACCCCAGGGGTTCGCACCCGCAAGGGCTTTAGGGTTTAGGGTTTCGGGCTTTACTGGAGTTTAATTCAAGTCTTTAGGCTTCCCCTAAGTCTGCTCCTCTAGGGTTCCTTAAGCCAAGGGTAACCCTAGGAGTCCAAGGGTTGGATTCCCATATGGACTCGCGAGATTTAGGTTCCTGTCTGGGGTCGAGACGTTCAGGCTTTCGGCCTTAAGTTTTGGGCTTTGGGGTTTTAGGATTTTAGATGTAAGGTCTGGGGTTTTAGGGTTTCAGGTTTGAGGTTTAGTGAAGTGGTGTTGTCAAACTTAGGCCGTAGTCAGTAGGCTTGAAGAGCTTTGCCCAGAACTCCTGGGACCTCAGTGGAAGACAGGTTGCTATGGGTTTACTTCTTGGGTTCATTGTTTACGAAACCACAAGCCCTAAGCCCAACATGAGGACCTCAAGGATTATAGGGTTCAGAGATAAACGCCTTAAAGCCCTAAATCCCTTATTTCACCCAAGCCCACACACTCGTTACTCTACCCATAAACCTCAAACTGTAAAACCCAAAACCCACGCCCTACCCTAAAACTGTTAACCCCAAACTTCAAACCTTAACGCCCAAAAATCGCCTGGCCGAGGACGTGGGGCCACCCCACCCACCCCAGCTACGGAGGCGACAGCCGGGCTGTGCAGTCGCAGCTTCAGAATGTGAGGCCAGTCGGGTTTCGGGTTTAGGGGGGAGGGGCGGGCCCATGTGTGTAGAAGGATTTCTCTTATACATGGTGTCGCTACACTTTGTTGCTCATGTTCTTTGGGTTTGGTCAGGCTTGTGCTCAACGTGGTGTTGAGCCTACGCGCCCCGACTCTAAACCCATGACTCTGACACATAGGGTTCAGGGGTACTTTTATGAACCTCCCAAACCTTACATCCTAAACCCTCAACCCTCAACCCCAAACCCTAAACCCGAAACCCTAAACCCTAAACCTTCCCACGTGACCTTGACAAGCTCCAGGAAGGTTTGCGCCTCTAGTGGCGCGTTCGCAGCGATCCTCGACGACGGATCGGCACATTGGCTGAAGCAGGTTAGAGGTTAGGGTTTGGGGGGTGGAGGGACCTCTTTTGTCAGGGCCTGGGGCCCAGAGATAGAAGGTGCCCCAGTTTGGAACGAGCGCTACTTGAAGGCTCTTGAATCTATATAGGGGTTTTTGAACTTGTGACACCCTCAAGGCCCGAACCCCCCACATCGAAAACTCCCACCCCTACGCCGCTTCTGGATATCTTTTGACTTGTTCGGGGGGGAGGGGGAACTTAGGGTTCAGAAGGGCAGGGTTGAGGGCACTGGGTGCTTGAATCGCACGATCGTTGGCGGAGAGACACCATCAACTCGAACACCGAAAGCCTCACTCATCATGGGCAGAAGGCATCTTACCTGTTACGAGTCTTCACGTCTAGGGCCTTCCGTCTCACGGTTTAGCTGGCTGGCGTAGTGTGTGTTTACAGCCCAAGTATGCGTTCAAGGCACTTTGTGGCTAGCGGGCCCAGCTCAATCTCAGGACCTTGTGTCGGGGGGGGGGGGGTTGGGGCACGCCGGAGCTTCGCTCACAATCCCATGAGCATTTTGGATTTAGAGTCGAGGGTTCCCAAAACCTGCAAAATACGACACTAAATTCAAGCCCCTGAAGATGTTTCACAACACTCTTCTCCACACTCTCCCCCGGCCCCGTCCCCGTCCCCCCCCCCAAAAAAAAAATCAAAAACAAAAGACGCCCAACCCTAAGCCTCAAACACGCTAGAAGCCAAGGTGGTGACTTGGGGCGACCCCGAGTCTGGAGGCGACTGCAGCCGCGTGCGAAGCCGGCTCAAGATCCTGGTTTGGAGTTTTTTTTTTTTTGTGGGGGGGGGGGGGAGGAGGGGTAGGGTCTAGGGGGCGTGGGGTTCTTGGTCTCAAGGGGTATGCTTGGGCGTTGAAGTACTTCCTGTAAAAGAACTTTGAGGCCTAGCCCGAACAGAAAGCCCGAAATCCTAAACCGTTAACCGTCATCTCTAAAGCCAACCAGCCTGAACCCGTGCACCCGTGAACATTGACAGGTCAAACCCTGCACCCTCAGTCATATCCTTAGCACCTTTCACCCCTACACGCCTGAAACGGTTCTGTTCAGCCCTCAATCCCACACACCCATTCCCAACGCAGGAAGGAATCATGCTTCTCTAGTTCTGCACCTTGCGACCGTTTTGCTTCTGCTCGTCCTAGTGCATGTCTCAAAGCACAAACACGAAACCCTTATCATCACAGACCCTAAACTCTCAACTCCTAAACACCCAAACTCGTAAACCCCTAAGCTTCCAACCCCCAACCCAAGAAGCCCTGAACTCCTTTAAACTCCTAACCCTTAAACTCCGAAACCGCCCCAAACTCCGAAACCCCAAAACTCCTAACACCCCTCTAGACCCTTAACACCCCTCTAAACTCCTAACCCTTAACACCCCTGTAACCTCCTATCCCCTCTAAGTTTACGACAATAGGGAACACAATATAGACCCAAGAATAGTAGGATTCCGACCCCAAGAAGGTACCCCTAGTTTCCGAAACCCCCCAAACCCCAAACCCCAAACCCCAAACCCCAAACCCCAAACCCCAAACCCCAAACCCCAAACCCCAAACCTCAAACCCCAAACCCCAAACCCTAAACCCTAAACCCTAAACCCTAAACCCTAAACCCAGAAGTAAGGAGCGTTGCGCAGCTGGCGGCCACCACGGCCGCTTTCGCTGCCATCCTCAGCTGCGGCTCTGACGCTTGGCGGCGCGGGCTTTTGAGGGGCCAGGGGCTTAGGCTTGGCGGGTTTGTTTGGGGTATATTTAAGGTGATTGAAGGGTTTATTTGAGGTTTATTTAAGGAGATTTAAGGGTCTATTTGGGGTTTATTGAGGGTTTTTTGGGTTTAGGGTCCATTTAGGGTTGGGTTGGGAATTTGCTTTCGGGCTTTGTTTGCAGGTTGGTTTCGATTGTGTGATGTGTGATAGGAACGGCCAGTTCAGACCAAAGTCAAGGCACCTGGAGTGTGTTTATCTGGCTTGTTATCTAGGGTGTATTTTAGGTTTGTCTACGGTCTCATTTAGCGTTGCGTGTGTTTCTTCGGGTATGCTTCGGGGTCAATTTGAAGGTTCGTTCCTGTGTGGTTTTGTGTTGTGTCACATGTCGGGGCCCGAAGCCCCAAACCCTACAACCCCTACGTCCTCAAACCTGAACCCTAAGGACTCTTTTAGGGGTTTAGCCTACGGGGGCGCAGTAACCCTGAACCCTGCACGCTTGAGGCTTCAACATCCAATTCTAGGGTTAAGGGTGAAGGTTTTAGGGTTGCAGGATGCAGGTTTAGGGGCAAAGAGCTCTAAACCCTAAGGATTCAAAACTTCAAAAGAACACGATTTAGGAGGCCCAGTAGTACCGGTCTTGCGACTTTTTGGGTTGGGATCTCATAGAAAGCTACTGAAGCACAAAAGGCCTCCTAAGCCCTGAGAGACCTCAGAGCAGGTGGCGGTTTCCGAAGTTAGGGGTACCTTTATTGGGGTCCTTAGTTTCAAGAGGATCCTGCTACTTGGGGATCCATATTGGGGGTCCCTAAACCCTAAACCCTAAACCCTAAACCCTAAACCCTAAACCCTAAACCCTAATTCCTAAACCCCCAGGTGGTGACCTGGGGAAACAGCCACCGCGGTGGCGACAGCAGGCGCGTGCAGGAGCAGCTGAAGAATGTGAACCACATCCAGGCCCAGCTTCCTCAAGGGTTTGGCAGCATTGGGGTTTAGGGTTTGGGGTTTGGGGTTTAGGGTTTAGGGTGTTCTTTTCAACCTCAGAAGCATAAACTGAACTGCCCGAACGGACCAATGTAGCTGGTAGCCCCACAAAGATGCCATCAGGAGGCGGTGGGGCATTTGGCAACTGTCTCAGCAAACGGGGGCCGGCTGCGAAAAGTTTAGGTTTGTCCAGTTTTGAAGACCTCCCAAAGAAGAGATCCCTCAAGCAACGCAACGCCCGGCAAGAAATCAGCCCTAAAACCATAGACTTGCAGGCTTCTCAACTTGCAGGCTTCTCAATCTCAGCCCTAGCCAAAGGCTCCTATGTAGTACCTTTTTTGGGTAGTATACTAGAACCCCCTTCAACGAGCCCAAAAAGGAACTCTACATTAATTAGAGCCTTCAGGTAACCCCTAACCCTACGATGCAAGGCTTCTCACACCGCTTTCGCGGCTCTCCGCAGTGATGGGCATGTGCTTCGGACAGAAGTAGGGGGTTTGGGTTTAGGGATATAATTTACAGGACCTAACCCCCCAGACCCTAAACCCCCGTTGTGTTAATTAGGGTTCCTGAAGAGAAAAAAACGGCTACCCCAATAAGTGGGACCCGAGTGAGCAGGTACACCCTGAGTAAACCGGATCTTTTTTGGGGTAGTTCTCTATATTCGGTTCCCTGTTTAGGTCCCTGTGTGTAGTACACAACCATAAAAAGCAGGGGGCCCAAAAGGGGATTGTAATTAGAGAACGGCCCATAGAGCTCTGGGGATCCCACACCCACACGTGTACCCCTTTCAAAAAGAAGCTTCCCCTCCACAAGCTGCTTGCCTCGCCATGGCGCCCTAGGGCCCTCATTGCCGATTATGGGGGTGCTCGGGCCTACAACTCCTTTGGGTACCCCTAAATATTAGGGGCCGCCTTAATGTTAACCTCATGTTTATAAACCCCCTCATTTAAGAAACCCCAAGCCCGGAACTCAATTATAACCCCCCCCCCCCCTCAATTCAGAAACCTCGGTCCAGGACCCTTTTTTCCGCTAGAGAACTGCCCTTCTTAAGCCAGAGAATGCCGGTAAGGGTTCTGGGTAGGTAAGGGTTGGGGGTGGTTCAGGTTTTTAAGGGACAGCCCGACCCCCCTCAATAGGGGGTCCGGGGGGGGGAAACAAATAAATTGATGGGTCCATACAAAGAAGTTCATTAAAACGAGGTTGACAGTATCGTTCTTGACCCCAAAAGGGACCATACAACCTAGAGAAGTGAGAGCAGGTGGTGACCTGGGGAAACTCCTTCCACGGCGGCGAGAGCAGCCGCCTCCAGGAGGAGCTTGTCGACGTGAGATGCGTGCAGGCAAGCTTTGGGGCCCACCAGGGTATTTAGGGGTTTAGGGTTTAGGGTTTAGGGTTTAGGGTTTAGGGTTTAGGGTTTAGGGTTTAGGGGCTTAGGGTGCTTCAGGGGTTTAGGGCTTTGGGTAATTTTGGGGTGAAGGGGCTTAGAGCTTAGGGTAATTTTAAAGGTTCAGGTTTAGGGCTTAGGGGTTTAGGATGTTCAGGAGTGCAGGGTTTTGGGTGTTTAGGGTTCTGGGTTCAGGGTTTACATGTTAGCGTTTTTCAGTGTTTTGGCGTTCAGTGTGAGTTAGGCAAGAACTGGGGTGCCAATTAGATTCGACTGGGTGATATGGGATCAGGTTGGCAATGGATGAGGCTCCTGTAGTACTTGTTGGAACCCTAAACCCTAAAATCCCTAAAATCCCTAAAACCCCTAAAATCCCTAAAATCCCTAAAATCCCTAAAACCCCTAAAATCCCTAAAATCCCTAAAATCCCTAAAGTCCCTAAAATCCCTAAAATCCCTAAAATCCCTAAAATCCCTAAAATCCCTAAAGTCCCTAAAATCCCTAAAATCCTAAACCCTACACCCTAAACGCTATTCAATCCCTTTAGGAGCCCTTCAAGAACCGCTTGGGAGTGCTCAAGTCAGGCCTCGGGCTGCGCCTTCGCAGCCATCCGGGACGACGGCTCCGTCGTGACCTGGGGGGACGAGGCGCCGCCGGTCCTTTAGAGGCTTGTGGGGTTTAGGGTTTAGGGTTTAGGGTTTAGGGTTTAGGGTTTAGGGTTTAGGGTTCGGGTTCCCTGGGTTGAAGCAAGCAGTGGACCCTAAGCGGAGACGGGGAGTGGCAAGCCCCAAACCCTAAAAGGAGATAGGGCGTGGCAAAGTTGAACCTAAAAGGAAGTTGGGGGGGGGCAAACCCTAGGACCTGAAAGGTAAAACAGAAGAAGAAGAAGAAGAAGAAGAAGAAGAAGAAGAAGAAGAAGAAGAAGAAGAAGAGGAAGAAGTCAAATGGTCGGTTCGCTTAGGGTCGAGCTCAAAACCAACCCTCTGCACTCTGAGGCTTTGGAAATGTGCCCTTGTGCTCCCCTAGCCCTCCAAAACCTAGACACCCTAGCTTCAAGGCCGTTATATGGTGGTTTCGAAACTAGGGTACCTTATTGGGGTCCGTATTGTGAGGGATGCTACTATTTGGGGGGTCTATTCTAGGGGTCCCTTATTTTCGTAAACCCCATCACCGAAGAGACGGCATCTTCCTGTCGAGACCTGCGGCGGGGATAGCAGCCGGGTGCGGCACCAGCTGCGGAAGGTCCTTTCCGTGCAGGCGTGGCCGGATGATGCCGGATGAAGGTTGAGGGTTAAGGGATTTAGGGTTTATGGTTTAGGGATGAGGGACTGAGAGCTTGACACTTAGGTCTCATTTTGCAAGATCTGAAAATCCACAGGTTTTTAGATTCCAGTGTTCAACTAGGATATTCATCCGGGTCCTCGACCACGAGCTGAGCTATGGGGTACTGTCTTTGTGTTTGGCTGTGTTCTTTTAAGGTACTTCCTCGCTTCCTAATGAATACATCAGCCTCAAATGAACGCTGAATCCTTCGTCATATATGCCCTGAACTACCCTGAACCCTAAACCCGAATCTGTCAACGCTAGACCCAAGAACCTCAACCCTGAACCCCGAGGCTCTGAGGCTGAAGATGTCTTCAGCAGCCACAAGTGCGTAGAATTGCAGAGCCTGCTAGGTTGGCTTTGGGACATTTAAAATTTTCCTTATTTGCGCTTATAAGGGACCCTATATATATATATATATTTTTATTTATACACACATTTTTCAAAGGGTTTAAAGGCCAACCCGGCCTGGTCTTTCGGCTTAGGTACGCCTTTCACTGGCTAGCGTGCCCCCACTGTGAGTATGTCTGGGAACATCTCCCAAAGCCTTTTGAGCCTTAAACCCCAAGACCCCAAGGTTTTGTGAGTTTTTGAGAGGGGTTCACAGTCACTGCTTCCCGCGGTTGAGAGTTAGGTGCAGTTGTAAAACCCATTCAACCCAAGCCGTTCCATGTATCCCTGAGATTCAAAACAGGTGTACTTGGGCTGTAAATCGCTTCTTTCATAATGTCTTTAGTCGGTACATGGGTATAACCCTAAACCCTAAACCCTAAGAACTGTGAACCCTAAACCCGACACTGCTATAGGCTACGATTACTGCTTTGTGTGTAGGGGGGGGAAAAGGCGTCGTATGGCGCCTTCGCGGCCATCCTGGACGATGGCTCCGTGGTTTCCTGGGGCGACTGGGGCGGAAGGTGTTTCTTTTTTTCCATTTGGGGGTGGAGGGGTTTGGGGTCCAGCTTGGGGTTTAGGGTTTCGGGTTTAGGGCTTGGGGTTTAGATGTTTGGGGTTTGGGGTTTCCGAAAATAGGGGTACCCTTTTGAAGGTCCCTCTCAGGGGATTCCATTCTATTTGGGGTTAGAGAGGGCTACCCCTTTATTTTTGGAAACACCCATTTGGGGGGTGCGGGGGTCTAGCGTTTAGGGTTCAGGGTTTAGGGAGCCCTGTATATGTCCACCACAAAAGATGCATTGTCAATCCCTCCCCCTCCCCTTCCACGAAGAAGTAGGGTCTGGCAGGGCGGGTCCAACCAACAAATGTCACAAGCATGGCGGTGGCTAGTATCTCTCCGGGAGGCCGCCGCGAAAACCAAAACTTGGGCTTGAATTTGCTTTGGATGTTAGGCTTCAGAGAATCTCCTGAATATGTTGACTTCTTGGCATCCGTAGATCACATGCGTACATTGTCATTGAGTTACAAACTATGTGGGATGAGATCTAGTACAGCGCGCAATGCCGACCAGAAGCCCATATGCCCGTAATACCCCCCCAAGCCCAAAACCCTAAAGGCCCTAAACCCATGTCTAGAAATGCCTAAGCTCTGAAAACACCATAACCCTAAACCCACAAAGCCCCAAATCCAGGAAACTCCTACCACGGTGGGAACAGCAGCTCCGTGCAGCACGAACTCCAGAACGTCGTGCAGGTGAGAGGGCCGTACTGTAGCCCACCGAAACCCTTACATTTTGCTTGTTCGTCTGCTTGCTTCTTCACTCTTATTGAGTTTAGGAGGATTGTTCCCAGGATTTCAGAGCCCAGCTTCTAGGCTCGGATAAGATACCTCTTGTCCAGGCCACTTCGAAGATGTTTATATGGTTATTTAGGGTTCCCCCGAAAATGCTTGAGGCGTTGTGCCCCCTGCATTTTGAAAGGATACGGATGCATACACAGAGTTACTCTTAGGCAACCCTGAAACCCTTGCCGGCCGCATCTCAACCTTGAAAAATTTGCAGCGGTTAGAGGTTGACTATCTAACAGAGTTCGACGAGACAACCAGCCTGCGGCAGAGGATCTGCTCTAGAACCTACGCCCCAGAAGCCCTAGAAGATCCGAAGCACATCCGACAAAACGATGTCTCAGAGCCGGGGACCTTGTCCCAATGTCGGGCTTATTACCTTAACGTTCCCTCAGCCAAAACGGTACCTTGAACCCCAAACCCTAAAACCACGCACCCCGTGGCAGATCCAAGCTACCGGCTGCGCCTTCGCGGCGATACGTTCCGACGGCAGCCTTGCCCCTTGGCCTCGTAGGGGGTCTAGGGTTTCGATTTCGTTGTTTCCCACCCTAGGTGTGGGGTTTAGGGTTTAGGGTTTAGGGTTTAGGCTTTAGGCTTTAGGCTTTAGGGTTGAGCACCCTGGTGCCTTAGACAACCCTACGCAGCCCTCAACTGCAGGTGACTTGGGGCGATCCTCGGTGCGGCGGAGAGAGCCTGCCCCTGGATGTCACAATTTAGGGTTAGGGTTTAGGGTTTAGGGTTTCGGATCTAGGGTTTAGGGTTTAAGGTTTAGTCTCAGTTCTTCTGAGACCATCGGGGTGTAATATGGGGGGTTTACGATATTAGGGGTTTGATCTTTTCGGGGTCCTTATGATAAGGGGATCCTACTATTTGGGGTCGATATTAGGAGTCCCCAAATTAATTACTAAGAGTATTCCCTTATGGACCCCATAATGTAAATATCCATATACTACAATAACTCTGTTCGGAACAAAAGGCTGCAGCAGTACCAACAAGACTTAGGGGACTTCTCATTCGTCCCAGGGCTTCGAGGTTTCAGGTTTTGGGGTGTAGAATTTAGGGTTTAGGGGATGGGGGAGCTCAGGGAAAGCCCCCAAAAGCAACCTAAGCCTTGAAACCCTCTGCCCGCGCAACCCAACAACACCCTAAACCCTAAACTCTAAACCCTACCGGAACCGTTCAGATTCTTAAGGAGGCCCTCGTAAGGCTGTAGTCCCTGGCTTAGGGTCTAGGGCGTAGAGCTTGCAAGGGTTTGGGGTTCAGGGTTTCGGGTATGTATAGTGCCCAGGCACGTGCAGCGGCTGCTGCGGAACGTGCAGCAGGCACGGTGATATTGGCTCATCTTGTTTCGGGCTTTTGCGGGGTCCATGTTGGAGGGCACCGAAACAAGGCATATGATTTTGATCCACCTCCAAATGGTGGCAATTTGCTTGGGCCGCATTTTTGGGTGTGCGCGGCCTAGCGTTTGGAGGGTTAGGGAGTTAGCGGAATGTGGCGAGGGTTCCCTAAACGGTAAAAGCATCAAAAGCGAAACCAAAAATATGCTTTATGCTTGCATTAAAACCTATAAACCTGCGATTGAGAGTTGAGGGCGGGGCTTGAGCTTGAAGTTTATGCGCCTGTGCCCTTGAAATCGCCCTGGAACTCCAAACCCTGTTAGGTGAGGGGCTCCTGGGGCGCCTTCGCGGCGATCCTAGCGGATGGCTCCGTGGTAACTTGGGGTGACCCGCCCCTGGGACCCGAACAGTTGCCTAAAGCCCTGAAAATACAGCCGCCCCCCGTCCCCATCCAGAACCCAGGAATTTCCTGCAATCCCGGGTTTCCGACTTCCTTACCCCTAAACGCTACACCATGGACCCCCTGAACCCTTCTAGTCCCTGCAGGAGTTAAGGGCGCCTGTTTGGGGGTTCAGAACTTGAATCCTGAGCCGAAACCTCAGCCAAAGTGAAACCACCTTAGGGTTTATAGGGTCTAGGTTTAGGTTTATGATCGTAATTAAAAGCCAAAAAGGCCCAAGTCCCAAGAAGGAAGCAGGGGGGGTTTAGGGTTTTGGGTTTAGAGCTTAGGGTCCAAACCCTAAGGTGGTTTCACTTTGGCTGAGGTTTCGGGGGCTCAGGATTCAAGTTCTGAACCCCCAAACAGGCGCCCTTGGACTAGAAGGGTTCAAAGCCCTAAACCCTAAACCCTAAGCCCTCTGCTCTTATGCTCTTCGGGCCCCTGTGAAGCCTCCTGCGTGCCCAAGGAAGCAGGGGGGAGACTGCAGCTCAGTGGAAGCCCAGCTGCGGCATGTCCAGGAGATTCAGGCCTGAAGCGAGGGAAGGGGGGGGCGTTGGGGTGGGGTTTAGGGGGGTTTAGGGTTAGTGGTTTAGGGTTTAGGGGGGTTTAGGGGGTTTAGGGGGTTTGGGTTTAGGGGTTTGTTTCGGGGGTGGGGGGTTTAGGGGGTTAGGGGGGGTTAGGGGGTTAGGGGGGGGGGTTTGGGGTGTTTTAGGGGGTTAGGGGGTTTAGGGGGTTCAGGGGGTTTAGGGTTTAGGGGGTTTAGGGGGGTTGTAGGGGGGTTGGGGGGTTTGGGGGGTTTGGGGTGTTTAGGGGGTTTCGGGGGTTTAGGGGGTTTGGGGGGTTTCGGGGGTTTGGGGGGTTTAGGGTTCAGGGGGTTTAGCGTTTACGTAGGTTTTAGCGTTTAGGGTTTAGGATTAGGGTTTAGGGTTTAGGGGGACGAAGGGAGGGTGTCAGGGATCAGGGGTTTTAGGGCCTTGCGGGCTGGTGATCCCTGAGCCCTATTTCCTCAACCAGAGGCCTTTGATTGTAGGGAATCACTCTGAAACCCTTGTCGGATTCTTAGGCAACCTGCAAACAGGTTTCGGGTTTCTTAAGGTAGGGTTTGCGGTACAGGGTTTGGACGCAGGGCAGTTCAAGGGCCAGGGTTGTCAGGGCTGTCGTTCACTTCGGTGAGGGCGCAGTCCATCAGCTCACACCCGTGGCCCAGGGCGCTTGGCCTCTCAACGGTCCTTTTTAGAAACCCTTGCACAGCCCTGGTACTTGGTACGCTGCCTATACAAGCCCGCTGAGAAAAACTCTAGCGAAAAAGCCCAAAGTAAAACCCAAAGGCCACTGGCTGTGCCTTCGCGGCGATCTTGGAGGACGGCATGGTCGTTACCTGGGGCCACCCTGAGCACGGTGGGGACAGCAGCCACGCCCCTTGGAATTCCGAACCTAGGATTGGAGGTTTGGGGAATTTGGGCTTTAGGATATGGTGTTGGATTCGGGTACCTCTAAGCCCTGTAATCCTGAACCCTTGCCTGCTGAAGTCCAGAAGGATTGCAGGCATTGCAGTGGTTGAACTGCAACGAACTCCGCGGCCACGTGACCTTGTCGTGGGGTTGCTCTGTAGTAGTGTTTGGGGCCAAAGACCCTGAACTTCAAGTTTGAACCCCTCTGGGCTGCTGTCATTGTAGGATTCCGCAAGGGATACGCCTCCCCCAAGCCCCAAAGCTTATCTAACTCGGACATCTTTCTGTTTCCATTTCGTTTGCGTTCAGAGCACGTCGCTTTGTCTGAAAACTTGTACCATACCGCGTGACTAACAAAAAAACCATGAAACTAGCCCGTAGATTTTCTTATGAGGCGTCAGTCTGATGAAAGATGCAATCAACCCTAAGCCCCAAACCCTAAAGCGATGAACCGGCAAGCAGCTGAGGTTCAGGACCAGCTGCACTGCCAGAGCTATGGCAGCTATGGCACGTGTCCCATGATTGGCCCGTAGACGACAGGGGGGACCTGTCCAGCTGCACATTCTATGGGGTTTGGGGTTTAGTGTTTAGGATTCAGGGTTTGGGGTTTAGGGGTGTGGTGGGCGGGTGGACTCAGTTTGGGAAAGTTTCACCCAAGTCGGACAAGCGCTGTCCTCTGGCGTGGTCGTTTTCGGCATCTCCGTGCCTTTGACACGTCGACTGGCTGGTAGCGCTTGTCAGTACAGTTCCAAGCACAGTTCCAAGCTCGTTACCCATGCTATCGTGCATTTTCCTTGCTTCTGGGCAGCGACTAGCAGGTGTGCTCGGAGTGGTGGCCACCAAGATGGTGGCAGAGCCTCCGCGCTACACGCCTAGCTGAGACCGCTGGGACGGAGGCAATTTGACTCGAATGGAGCGAAGCTCCTCGAGTCGTTCCGACCTATGGATATCTCCAGGGTCTCTAAGTTTCATGCTTTGTCCACCTCATGGTTGGAGCACTCAAAGCACCCACCGGGCCTAAAACCCTGCTTGGAGCCAAATGTCTAAACTCCAACCCTAACACTTTAGCTCTAAATACACCTTTAAATAGTCCCTTAACCCTAAATAAACCTTTAAATCGACCTTGAACCCCAAATCCCCAAACCAAAAACTCAGCCTTGCGCACTTGCTTTTCAGCCCCACGGCCTTCAGCGAGCACGGCCGAAAGGCTATGCTCAGCTCTAGCATTCCTCGAACTAAACCCTAAGCCCTCAACTTAAACAATCACTAGAGTTTGCCCCTAAACCCAAACCCGTAAACCCTAAACCCTAAACCCTCTCTCTCGCCTCCCCCCCCCCCCCCCCCCCCCCCCCCCCCCCCCCCCCCCCCCCCCCGGCTGACTGCCACCAGGACTGTCGTTGGGTCGTAGGGCTATCTTGTTCGATGTCAAGCTGACAGAGGGCCTCGAGGCCTTTGAAGCTTAGAAACTTAGAAACCCGAAGCTAGGCCCGAACTCCCAAGGCACGGGCCGAAAGCACCACGTCTTGATCTAGGCATGAAGTTTTAGGGTTTAGGGTTTATAGGGGTCCTTCGAGGGTCAGCCCTAAATCCTTACCTCGGATTCGCCCTGGAATCCTGAACCCTACACCCTTCAACCCTTGACCCCAACATCCTGGATAGCCCTGAATCCCCTAGGTTGGCTTTTGGGACGTTTCATAATTTTCCTTATTTGGGTTTATAAGGGACCCTATATGTAAATGTTCTTCAAAGGCTTTGAAAGGCCAACCCAGTCCCTCAAAACCTCCCCAGACGCCCCGAAAGGTCGGCGCCGCGAAGATCGGCGACCTCGTGGCTCGGAGCTCGCTGCCTCCGCGCGAGGCGCTCTGCAGCTCCCTTTGAGGGTTTAGGATTTAGGGTTTAGGGTTCAGGGTTTAGGGTTTGGGGCTATTTGCGCGTAGTTGCAGGGCCCAAACTCCAAGGGTCCATGTACTTCAGTATTATGTTGCTTGGGCCCCAATGTCCCGACATAGGAGGTACATTAAGGACCAAGTATTCCCTACTTAGGTACATGGACCCTCAGAAAAAGACCGCAACTGTACCATTGTAGGGAGGACTTTTGGCCTCCAAATACTACAGCCCTTATTTATTCTATAGGAGCCCTCGAAATGGGGTGCATGAGCCACCGGAGCTTGCTTACTGAGGAAGAGTCTGGGGGAATGGGGGTTTGAGGCTTTTAGGGTTGTAGGCTGCTGGATTTGGGCGTTGTGAGGTGCAAAGAAGACAAGTTTGGTTCAGGGATTCTTGGGCTCGAGGGTTTAGGGTGTACAGTTCCAGAGTTAAGGGTTGAGAACTGAAAGGCCTACAGGTTTTAGGGCTCAGCTTGCTTGGAGGGAATCGCTTGTTTTTCCTTGACTACACTCTGGCCTATAGATTTGACGGTAAGGTTGTCGTATGGGTTGCCTTGCCTATGGGCCCTTTTCTTCATGCATACCCATGAGCTGCCAAGTATCCCGAATCCCTAGTCAGAGTATGCCTGTCAAACTTTAGCTGCATGGCTTGCGTAGGCATTGCCCTTTCGTAAACCGTTGCCGTTTAGGGGTGCGGGGTTTACCTGGGACCCCATTTACCTACAGATTAAAAGTAACTACCCTCAGTAAGCAGATATAACCCATAAAACTGTAGGTCAAGAGGTCCCCAAGTAGGGTCTCGGGCTTTAATTAGAGCCTTAGGCGTTTCGGGTTTAGGGTTCACATGAGCAAGAATCCTGTGGGACAGAGGCCTGGGTGCACGTAGGATGTAGGCTTTAGGGTTTAGGACCCTGAACCTAAGCCCCTAAGCCTTGAAACCCTGAAATTCTCAAAGCCATAAACCCTTCAACCCTTGGGAATAGTGTTAGAACGGGGTAGAGGGTTTTGGGTTTTAGGGTTTAGGGGTTGGGTTTTCCCGGTTTCCAGGGGGCCTGTATATGGGGTCAGTGTTTATGGCTGGCAGGTCCACCTCAGCTACAACTGCATCGGCGACAGGGGCGCGGTCGACCTGCTCCAGGCATGATTTAGGGCTTAGGGTTTAGGGTTTAGGGCGGATCTAACAAGCGGGCCTCCGATTTTTCATAAACCCTGAAGCCCTCAAACCCTAAATCCTAAAGCTTAAAGCCTCAAACCTCTAGGGGGAGGTCTAAAGTTGGATACAGCTATGGGGCTCAGCAGCGGACACAGCAACAGGCCTCATGCTCCCCTTGGCAAGATGCCTGCCGTTCCAATACTTCAGGTTTAGGGTTTGGGGTTTGCAGTCAACCAGCGACCCCTAAACCCTAAACCCTAAACCCAAGTTGCGGTCGAAATCCCAAGCACCTAAAGCACTGTAGGATTGGCGCCTCGGGTTGGGAGCTTGACGTTTAGGGTCTGGGGTCGAGGAAGCGGCTTTACCCTTTTCTGCCGCTACAACCCCCTGAATCCCTCAAGCGCTAAAGTTCTTTCAAACTCAAGCACCAAGACGTCAAAGCCCTAAAAGCAAAACAAACCAACCCCCTAAACCTCCACTTAAGCTCTAACGTGCAAAACCCTGAAAAAACCAATCCATCAGACCTTATCCCCGCAAACCCCGAAACCCTAAAGCTCAACTCCCTAAGCCCGAGAACGCAGGCCATTGCCAAGAGCTCAAGGCACTTTGGTTTCCCGGGGGGGGGGGGGAGGAGGTAGTAGGGTTTTAGGTTTTGGGGATTAGGGGCGTCGTTGCCTTAAGGTTTGGGGGTTGTGGGTGTGTGTGTGTGTGTGTGTGTGTGTGTGTGTGTGTGTGTGTGTGTGTTTGTGTGTTTGTGTGTTTGTGTGTTTGTGTGTGTGTGTGTGTGTCTGTGTGTGTCTGTGTGTGTCTCTGTGTGTGTGTGTGTGTGTGTGTGTGTCTGTGTCTGTGTCTGTGTCTGTGTCTGTGTCTGTGTCTGTGTCTGTGTCTGTGTCTGTGTGTCTGTGCGTCTGTGTGTGGTTCTTTTGGAGTTTAGGAGTCCCCCTTGAGCTTTATGAGATACCTGGACCTGTTGGCGGCACGATCCCAACTCAGGGCTCAAAGGCCCAAGGCCCAAGGATCCCAATCACAGGGTTGAGGGTTTAGAGTTTCGGGTTTATGGGCGAGAAAGGTCATTGAGGTATTTGTGAGGTCGAGCTCATCGTGCTAGGGCGACTAGCTGCTGAGGCCAGTTTGCTGAAGGCCTTCACTTTCGAACTGATCTCACTCTATTCTAGGCCCTGAACCCCACGCCCTAAACCCCAATCTAACCCAGAACCCTTTAGACGGCTCTGAAGCCCATCAATATTTTGCACGATTCGCAAGATCCACTTGTAGTCTGCATCTCAATCGAAACCCTGTCAGGTAGTCAGTGCCCGCTTGACACTCGTGCTCTTTGCAGGTACCCCTGCACGAACGACAGGAGACTTTGTGTGCCGCAGGGGGGGAGGGGGAGGGCATTCTCGATCTTGTTTGGTTTGCTCTCATTGTCATGGGCTTCCCATACAAAGGTACACGAAGCGCTGTGTAAAGAATGTGTACTGTAGCCCATGGATGAGGGTGAAGAGTTGTGCGATGTACGATTCTGGTGCCTTGGGGTTTTAGTTTTTAGTCTGTAGCTTGTGATGTATCGTTGCTGACAGTGTGCAGCCCCACACCCACAAAGCTAGAATGTTTCATTGCCTCATCACGAAATCCGAACGGTGAAATCTTGAGTAGGACTTTTTCCAGGCACCCGGCAAAGGAGCCAAGTTTGAGATAAAACATCTAAACAATCACAGCATTCAGAGCCCAAATTCTCAGGACCTCCATCAGGACATAAGAGGCTGCAGGTCACTGAAGAGGTTAGGGTTTGGGGTTCAAGGTCTAAGTAGGGCTTCGGTCTCAGGGTTTGGTTTAGGGTTTCGCGGGTTGAGGGTTGTTGGGTTTAAGAGACCCCCCAAAATTGGTTTGTGGCTTGGATGCTGACGGCCAACAAAAAAGTATCAAGCTCCTCAGCCTTAAATCCACCCCTCAAACACGGTAAACCCTGCAGGTAAACCTTTTAACCCTAAACGCTCGCCCTCGGAGACTCTGGGGCCTACAGGGCATCAGAAAATGAAGGCTTTCAGCTTCAAAAGCTGGCAGCATTTGGCTGGGTTTAGGGTTTAGGGTTTAGGGTTTCGGGTTTCGGGTTTCGGGTCTCAGGGCCTCCGTGGATGCCTTCTGCCAGCACATCTGGCTCTGTGCCCACCGAGCGCCCTTGGCAAACTCGGGTTATTTCGGTGTGCCATGGCGACGAGTGCAACCATCCTTTTCGAATGGGAGGAGCAGGGTTGCGGCTTGGGCTTAGGCTTCGGTTTAGGGTTTAAGGTTAAGGACCTAAGCTGTGGATCTAGATGAGTTTTCATCACCCATTGTTTCGCAGGACCCCGAGATGGGAAGATTCATTGTCTTCATCAAGCGAACCTTCATTGAAGTTGCACAAGTCACAGGCGATTCGGTTTTGTCGGTGCATGTTGCACGTGCGTGTGAGCACGAGAATTACGACGACAGAATGTCTCATCCTCAACTAAAG